TCTATGTGTATGAATGTATTGCTTGCATGTAAATGCACCATGTTATGCAATGCCCATGGAGGCCAGAAGAGGGCGTCAGATCCCCCTGAAACTGGCATTACCGACAGTTGTTAGTTGCCATGTGGGTGCTGGGAATTGAGCCTGGGGCCTCTGCAAGAGCAGCCAGTGCTCATAACTGCTGAGCCATCTCTCTAGCCCCTTGATTGTAAGACAGGATCTCACTATGCCCTGCTGACCTGAAATTCACTATGTAGACCAGACTGGCCTTGAACTCACAGAGATCCACCTGCCTCTACCTCTGCTGAGATTAAAAGCTTGCGCCACCATGCTCGGCTCCTTTGTGTGTGTAGTTTTTTGGTTTTTCTATTTTTTTTGCAGGTAGAGGGGATTTATTTATTTTTATATGTATGAGTGCTATGTCTGCATGTATGTAAGTGCCCCCACATCATGCAGTGCCTGCGGAGGACAGAAGAATGCGTCAGAGCCCCTGGAGCTGGAGTTACAGACAGTTGTTAACCACTATGAGGGTGCTGGGATTCGAACCCAGGTCTTCTTCAAGAACAGCCAGTGCTTTTAACCACTGAGTCATCTCTTCAGTCCCACATTTGTATGTTTTTTAAAGCAGGATTTCCACTATAAAGTCCAGGCTGGCCTCAAATTTGAGATCTACCTGCCTCAACCTCCAAAGCGTTGAGATTACAGATGTTCTCTTGGATACCGAGCAGGTTTGTCTGAATATTTTCACTCATAAGCTTTCTCTGTAGTTGGCTTACATATAGAATTGTAGGTGAGAAGACATCTTTGGGGTGTTGTTCCACCATGTTGTTTATAGGGCTGATGAGATGTTTTCATGTCCATTTCCTGATTCTTTGTATGTTTTCTGTATGGTTGATTTTGTTTTGTTTTTTGTTATTGCTGTGTTTTGTTTTTGTCTTTTTGAGACAGGGTCTCCCTGTAGTACCAGCTAGCCTGGAACTTGCTATGTAGACCAGGCTGGCCTTGAACGTACAGCGATCTGCCTATCTCTGCCTCCTGAGTGTAGAGACTAAAGACACGGGTCACCACGCCCAACTGTTTATTGTTTGTTTAAATATATTTTATTTATTATTTTAGTTTTATGTGTATGAGTGCATTGCTTGCACGTAGGTTAAGGCCACCCATGTCGTCAACACCCGTGGTCAGAAGAGGGTGTCAGATCCCCTGGAACTGGAGTTATGAATGGTTGTTAACCACCATGTGGGTGTTGGTAACCAAACCCTAGTCCTCTTCAAGAGCAGCCAGTGCTCTTAACCACTGAGCCATTCTCTCCAGCCCCTTGGTTGTTGTTTTCTGTCTGTGATGGATTCTAGAACAGTGTTTCCCAATCCTCGTTGTGTATCAGATTTTCCTGAAATGTGATATATTTTCATTGGTCTATGGAAGGACATGATATTGGTTTGGTTTGGTTTGGTTTTTTTTTTTTTTTTTTTTTTGTATAACCCTGGCTGTCCTGGAACTTGTATAAACCACATGGCCTAGAACTCACAGAGATCTGCCTCTGGAGTTCTAGGATGAAAGGTGTGTGCCATCATGCCCAGATCTACCTTATGTTTTGAGAGAGGGTCTCTCTGAACCTGGAGTCACCAACTGGCTAGGCTAGCTAGCCAATGAGCTCCAGAGATTCACTGGTCTTTTGCCTCTGCCTCCCAAGTGCTGGGATTAAAGGCATGCACCACCCTGTTTGGTTAATGCTGGTGTTTTTAGTTGTTACAAGGTGATTTCACAAAAAACCATTAAGACTTCACTTAGCCCTCCCTCTGGCTCTGCATAATGCAGGCATCCTGATGGATGCAGAAAACCTATCCCTCCCAGGGCTTAGTAAAGAAGGCAGACAGACAGACAAACATACACACTATACAATATCTGCCTTGGGTTACTGGTCTTCCTCCAACCCTCTAAAGTCTGAGGATTGGGTCTCCATCAATTTGATTGAATCAGAAGTAGGCACTCTATTTCACCAAACATATTCTTATCCCTAGGAATCAATTTCCTCAAACTCACAGAGTCACCTGCCTCTATCTCCAGATCAAAGGTGAGGGCCATCGTGCCCAGCTGTTATTTTTTATTTATGTCTATATGTATGTCTGCGTGTGTGTGTGTTTGTCTGTGTGAGTGTATACCACATGTATGCAGGTCCCCATGGAGACCAGAAAAAGGCATTAGATCCCCCTAGAGATGGAGTTACAGGCAGTTGTGAACCATCCAACGTGGGTGCTGGGCACCAAACTCACATCCTCTGGAAGAGCAGCAAGCACTCTTAACCACTGAGCCAGCTCTCCAGTCCAATAGATTGTAGTTTTGAAAGGAGACAGATGTTCAAATGGAACTGTACCAGTTTACTTGTGTGGTTTGGTTTATAAACACATCATCTTTATCTTCTGAATGTTTTCTAAGACAAACTGTTGGGTAAATTTTTGTACCACGATATTTTAAATGATGAGAAGCACAGCTGAACTGCTGACTTGTGTTTTATAGCGTGAATGAAAACACAGGCTATGGAAGGGGGAGAAAGACAGGTTAAGAGCTAGGGAGAAAATTTTTTTTAAAAAAGATACAAGGCCGCAGAGTGGTCAGTACAAGTGTTCTCCTTGTAATCCTTTTATCCCCAGAATCCACATTTTATTACTTTTATTTTATGTGTATAATGCCTTTATGTATGTAAGTTCATCCATGTCATGCAATGCTGACAGAGGTCTGAAGGGGGTGTCAAATCCCCTGAAACTGGAGTTGTGGGTGGTTGTTAGCCTCCATGTGGGTGCTGGGAACTGAACCCAGGTCCTCTGCAAGAGCAGCCAGTGCTCTTAACTGCTAAGCTATCTCTCCAGCATCCAGAATTCACATTTTAAAAGCTGGGCATAGTATCTGCACTTGTAATCCCAGTGCTGGGGAGTTGTAAGGTAGATCCATGGGACTCACTGGCCAGCCAGTCTAGCCTACTTGATGAGCTCCAGACCAGTGAGAAAGGTGGACAGTGCCTGAGGAATGATACCCAAGGTCGTCTGGCCTCTAAAGGCACATGCACACATGCACCTGCATACACATGAATACACACAAAGGATACAGACAAGAAGCCTTGGAAAACCCATTTTCCTGTGCACTTAAGGCTTAGTCTCTCCTAATTCTCTTCTTTAGAAAATCCTGATTAGTTTTGTTAAGTAATTAAATCAGAGTGGGCATGTTTGTGAAACGTGGAAGGCTGAGCTAGGAGAGCTAGAGTTCCAGGTACACAGCAATTCTCTCTCTCTCTCTCTCTCTCTCTCTCTCTCTCTCTCTCTCTCTCTCTTTTCTCCCCCTCTCTCTCTCTCTCCTCCCCCCTCTTAT